AAGACGTCCAAGAAGCAGCCTTGGCCAACCCCGACGCTCATTTCAGTCCGTTCAACCAGTTCGCCCTCTTGACCAACGACGAGTTCAAGAATGTCTTGATGAAATCGTTTAATCCGCAAAACTTCACCAACGTCGCGCCCTTGCCCGAGTTGGCAAATGAGCGCGCTTCTGAAGCAGACTGGTCGAAATCCAAGTGTAACCCCCCGATTGCCAACCAAGGCTCGTGTGGGTCGTGCTGGGCCTTCGCCACCATCGGGACGGTGGAGACTGCACACTGCATTGCCACTGGAGAACTCTTGGACTTGTCGGAACAACAATTGGTCAGCTGTGACAAAAAGAACTCTGGTTGCAACGGTGGCAATCCTTCACCAGCCATCGACTGGATGCAACAAGGCGTGTGCACCGAAGAGTCTTACCCGTACACGTCCGGCAAGAATGGTCAAAGCGGTACCTGCCAAACCAGCTGCACCAAGAAGCAGCTAACGATTGGCAAAACTAAGAAAACATCTGGTGAGAGTTCGCTCATGACAGTTTTGGAAAGCCAGCCTGCCACCGTGGCCGTCGAATCTGGCAACGCAGTGTGGCGCAACTACAAGAGTGGCATCGTATCTCAGTGTCCTGGGGCTCAATCCGACCATGCTGTGATTGCCGTCGGGTACGGTACTTCCACGGGCGATTACTTCAAGATTAAGAACTCGTGGGGGACGCAATGGGGTGACAACGGGTACATGTACTTGAAGCGAGGGATGAGTGGCAAGGGAATGTGCAACGTCGCGGAATGGGTTTGGTACCCTGAATTAAGCGGATCGCCGCCGACTCCCTCGTCTAGCCAGCCGCCGATCCCTTCGTCCACCCGCAAACCGTTCCCATCTACTTCGGAGTCCCCCAAGCCCTCAACTGACACCCCTATGACGTCAACGCCTTTGACCACCCGCCGCCCGTTTCCTACTTCGTTTGGACCCAAGCCCTCGACTGACACCCCTATGACGTCAACGCCTTTGACCACCCGCCGCCCGTTTCCTACTTCGTTTGGACCCAAGCCCTCGACTGATACCCCTATGACGACGACGCCTTCGACAACCCGCCGCCCGTTTCCTACTTCGTTTGGACCCAAGCCCTCAACCGACACCCCTGCAACATCGATGAGCACTCCTACTACCACCAAACGCCGCTATACCCGTCGCCCGAGGACGTCCCGACAACCAAAGACCACGGGGCCTTCTACCACAGACACCCCTTCCCCCACGACGGAACCTTCATCGACGTTTGCCCCAAAGCCTACAACCCAACCTTCTTCAACCTCTGCCCCAACTCCGTCGACGCCGTCTGGCAACGGTGTGAAGGACCAACTGATTGCCCAAACCAACAAAATCCGTGCGGCCCACGGTGTAGCCCCCCTTGCTTGGGACGATGCGCTGGCGTCCAAAATGCAGACTTGGGCCAGCAGTTGCCCTGGATTTAAGCACGGGGGTCCCTCTGGCTGGCAAAACTTGGCGACCAACACCGCGTGCGGGTCGAGCGGCAAGGACTGCATGAAGGTGGTGGGGGCGTCCTGGTTGTGGTACGACCAAGAAGAAACGTTCTGGAACTACGGCAGCAACTCGTGCAACGGGGACTGGGCCAAGTGCGGCCACTTCTCCAACATGATGAGCCCAGAAGTCAAGTCCATGGCGTGCGGGTGGTCCCAGTGTGCCAACGGCAACTACGTCTGGTGCAACTACAACACCCCCGTGAAGAACCCCAAGGTGGGCAAAATCACCGGCATGACCAAAGCTGAGCTCAAGGCCAGCTTGACCGCCTAAGTGGACGTTTCGTATATCGAATGAGTGTAGGTGAGCATTCTGTAAGTTGCATCACGTTAGTGTCAACAACTGAAAATGATAACGTTCTTGCCACAAAGAGCCGCGTTGTGACCAGTGTTATACTGATTCTTACAAGGGAACCACCAGACTGATATATAGATGTCTTAAAAATGATAATCCAAACTCAATTAACCACCAGACTGATATTCGTACTTCGAAGTAAGTTACAAAGTTACCGTACTGTAACAGTAATTATTGATAATAGTACTCCGAGTACAATGACTACTACGTAGTACTTCGAAGTAGTATACTGTAGTACACAGTCTACTGGCGTTTTGTCTCCCGCTTCTTCTGGGCTTTCGGTCACGGGACCTTCGTCAAGGTATCAAATATAACACTGACATTAGTGACATTAGTGAGTTTAAACACGCCACGAGGCGCCTACTGACTACCATTCATTAAGGTACTCAGTACCTCCACTAATTTGAGGGGAAGGTGTTTTGGTGGTGGATGTCTTGGTTATTTTCGGGCGTTTGGTGCATCGGTGCTGGGTGGTTGAAGGTGGCCTTTGTCGTGAGGGCTTCGTGATCAAGAAATTACGGAACGGTATGTGGGCGAAAGGGGTGGGCTTATTGGAAGTGCGCACCGGTGGTCCGCTCAATTCAGAATTCGAAATCCCAGCTGTAAAATGGCGTCGCCCGCCAACCCCTGGCCCCTACACTGTACACTGTACTTTAAACACGGCGTGAATGTGCTGGGGTCGGCTGCGGAACTTTGTCGAGACAGCATTGCAAAACCAAAACTCGAGAAGGTCGGTGGGGAGGCAGCGGGTACGCCCAACTTGCAGGGAGGTGTGGGAACTGAATGCATGTGCAACTTGGCTGAAGGAACGTCGTACCAGTGCCTACACGAAGCGAATGGAACAAGGCCCCGTCTCTCTCTTAGTTCCGTACCACGTAAATTACAAGGTAGTTCTTGCCCTCTTCAGCACGTCGACTCCTACACCTTTCGCCACCAGATGATAACATCTATTAAAAACAGATTACGACGATTGGGACGATGATGCCAACAGCATCCTAACTCCGTCGTGGTCCTCGAGTACGTATAGTACAAGCCATTTCCTACCGTCCCCGGCCCTAAGAGTTCACCCCCTCTCTTCCCACGAGCGGTGACAACATTGGAACGACGTTTAGATATCAGAAGCATGTTTAGGCTTTAAATATGTAAATTGTAGGGATTTGCATTGTTAGTATGCATTTACATGCTTGAGTTCTGGTGCCTCAGCCGATACATTCCTTCTACTATGTTTGAAGGTGGAGAATCAACGTGAATTTCATTGTAGTTAGTCGTTGCGATGCATGATAATAAGAGAAGGGTGTATGTAGTGTATGGATATCACCTGATACATGATTGAATGGAGTGTATTGTCAAGACAATGGATTGGGCTTGCTCGATTATGCGGTGTCCTTCTTGTAGTGGGGGGCACCGAACGACTCAAACAAATCAACGAATGAAGCCCGTACAACGACCTCGCACCATTCACTTCTCCCAGCTCGCCGTTTCAAGTGGACATAACTTGTTCTTTGGTCTGAGCGGAAACGAAGCCGCGAACTTATCATGTTGTTCTTTGGTCTGAGCGGAAACGAAGCCATACCCTTTTGTACGATTGAAAGCGGGTTCAAAATTCTTCCGCGAATATCTACACAGTGTGGCGAAGCCACACGGTATCCAATCATCAGTTTTGAGCCTTGTTCGTGCAATTTAGGATTGAACCGCTGGTATGAGAAATGCTTTCGGCACAGGAGCGCCGTCAATTCATATCGTTTCGAAAGCCCCCCTTGGAGCACACGTTCGAGTCCAACCGACTGGAAAACTAGCTATGAGATAAAAAGGCTGCACAATATCGTTAGCGTTCGAATTCGTCATCACGGAACTTGCTGGATTCAGAACTTGCTCACAATCTACCAACGTCATTCACTACAAAAATGGTGCGGGACCAGGAGGTTCTATCGGGTATTGGGCCAATTATATTTCGAGCTCGTACGCCAAGGTTCTACGTAATCCAAGCCTCGAGTATATTCATAACGTTATTACTGTAGCGCTTCAAAATACTAAACCAATGGGCAATGACCCAGCACCATGAATATCATAGTGTTTGACGAATCAGAAAATCATGCTAGCTCTACTCCTAAACTTCTGGCTCCCGGCAATCCTTGAAGAGCAATAAGGCGCTGGATGCATATCACTAATACCGGTATCCAACGTAATATCACGTGACCTTCAGTAGTAGTATCGACATCAGTTTCGGGTTATGCATCGTAAACGTGGCTGAGCGGAAAGCGTCGTGACAACTTTGACGACATAACCATGAATACACTGAGTTGTCCGGCTGGAGGAATCACAACATTCACAGC